CCCCCCCCCCCCCCCCCCTCCCCTCCGCCTTCCCCACTGGGATGCAACAAATCCGGATAGTCCAGTAACAATCGTTGTAGGAAACTCGTGGAGCTACTTTTCGCAACAGGTAGACGTACTCGTAAATCTTCTTTGTATTATTATATAGGATAAGAAGATACTGACTGGGACCACTGCTAAAAATATGAACGATTTTCAATGAGTTAAAGATAGTCATACATAAAAAAATAAATATTCATCAAGCTAAATTAAAATAAAACAATGACCTTTTTTTCTTATTTCAACGTCCTAGAGTTTTTACGGGTTTTTAAAAATGTTCCAATTTTGATTTCATATGATAATAAAATCAACCAATCATTGAAAGAAATAATAAATTTTTTACACGTGTAGGACAGTAACTTTATAGTAAATATCGATATAAAATTTGGCCTCTAAGGCACCAAGAATTAGTAAAAAGATTTTACAAATTTTTCTCTTTCTTGAAAAATTTAGACTACGTAATCTACAAACGCCGTTTTCCAATATAAAAAAGCTGATTTTTTGTGTATTGCAAATGCGTTGTGATTTCAATGTATTTTCATTTCTCTATTATTTGTTTCTTAACGCTTTGTCAGGGCATACAAAGCAGTCTAAGAACGTAAAAATTTGATATAAAAAACGCTATAACGCTTTTGTAGCTTAACATCACTAATGAAAAGGAACAAGAACAAAAAGCATTACTTAATGGCAATTTGCATTGTTATTGTTTATTTTCGCGATGTCCATTTGTGAGTTTTGATCTGCTCGAAAAGACTGCACAGAAATTGTTATTTTCTAAGAAATAAGAGGAAAAAATTGTTTTGATGAAAAAAAGTCATATATTTGTGAAATTATTTTTAAGTTATTATGCTTTAGCGTTTTTAAAAATTTGCTGTGTAAAATTTGAAAATTGTACATTCAGAAAAATTCCATAAAAACAAAAAAAAAGTTTCGCTAAAAGTTTAAAATGTCGATTTTAGAAAAAGACTAATGGGACTCCTGAAACAGAAGCTCGCATTTTGTCAAGCAAATAAAATGGCGTAGGCGCGATCGCCAGCTACGATAGTGATGATATACAGAAATTACATGAGTCCGAAAAAACAGAGACGTTTGAAGTAGTTCTAGATTGCCTCTCGGCATGAACTTAGCTAATGATAAAGATGTTAGGATGATCCCGCCACTTCCGCCGCCGCCAACAGCTGAGGAGAAGAAAAAGCCTCAATCGCCTGTAGTGACAAATGATATCGTCCAAAAGGAGGTCAATCAATTTATCGTAGATTTCGAGGAATCAACAGAACTGCATCAAGCGATTGTGCATTTGGAGATTAACTTGCAAACAGTGGTTTCTGGAAGCCCTCTTACAACACGATTTGTAAGCAACCAAGAAACGCGAAAACGTATCAAACAGTGAAGTTAATATTAGTTTCCTTCATAACAAATATACATATCGCCGTACCTATCGTAAATCGTTGATTTGTCTACAAAGTTTTTCTTGTAATCGCTATCTTTAGCTGCAGCTTTTCCTTGTTATACTAATTATCTATCTGGTTCCATTTTTTTGCTGCCTGTCAAATGTTTTTGGGAGAAAACGTTGAAAAAATAGTGAAAATTAACTATTTTTGCAATATAATCTTTGAAGTCCCAAATCGGAATTGACAATATTTAAATATACAGTGAAATCAATTGATATTTTAGGTTAAAGTTTTAGATAATAAACTTAGCAACGAAATGGCATTAATGGGGCTTCCGAAAAAATCGAAATTTGAGGAAATTTTCGTAGTACCGGTACATGCAGTTAAAATACAAAAATTGATCGAAAAGCAGATGATGGAGAAGCCCGCAGCTATATAGCTATACCTCTATACCGGATTTTTAGTTGTGGTCCAATATAACGTTGGGATACAATTGAATTGGTTTCGGATGATGACCAGGATCGTGAAAGTTTATTCTCGGAAAAAAATCATGGTAAACAAGAAAATTCTGGTGAAGGTGATGATATCAATAACGACGAGTTTAAAGAAAATCGCATTCAAAACGCTAATTCGGTAAACAATTTCTTATATTTTCTTAAATTGTAAAATTACATCCGTCCATTCAAACTTTTTAATATTTACTTCAAATTTCCATAGATTGAATTGAAATGGTCATCACACGCTCAAAATAGCGCACATTCCAAAAGCCAATTCATCAGGCTCGATTATTAACTTTTTCAAGAATACAATGAATACACAAAACAAATCTGATCTGCCATATTTATTCGCATCTGGCTCAAAATCAAATGTTAAATAATCGTAAATCTCTTCAGTGCAAGAGTTGGAGTCTGAATGGCATCGAAACTGTACAACTCATACTGGTCCTAACAAGGGAAACGGTATTAATAACGATGCGAAAATTTCGCAAATTTGCTCTTTAGACAATCTTATCAACAAAAACCAAGCATTATGCAGTCATCAACGGCGATTCATCATACATACAGCAAACGCAACTTTTTTTTTACGGCACCAGCAGCAAGCCGCCCTATGCTTATCGGGGATCAACAATGCAGTAAATCCTTAATTGAGACTTTAAGTGAAAGATGTTCAACAGAAAGACCTTCAGCAGAAACAAAAAGTGTGAATGAAAAGGAATTTTTATTTCTCGGCGGTGGTTACAAACTTATTCCTTATAATGAGTACAGCTCTTTTTACAACAGAACAGGTTGTAACTATGCCCCAATGCAAGAAAAGAAAACTGCATGTAAAAACTTCGAAGTTTATGATCTCCTAAAAACAAATTGTTACTCTCAAATATGGCGCAATCTAGGTATAATAACTCTGCAATTTCCTTGAATGGCGTTATATATTCTCTAGGTGGATGCGATTCAAATGGTACACAATTGACTACCGCTGACATGGATGGATGACGATTAGTCCATCGCTGCCAATCAGTCAAATGCGGATGAAAGGTATGGTTTTGTTTTTTTTTTGGTCGCTATCTTTACTCATGTTAAACCTGATTGAAAGAGGAATCTTAATGGTATCAGTTTTTTGATTTCTTGCAGTCGATTTCGTTGCGTGGTCTCATATCCGCCCAATAGTAATGTTGAAGTGGAATTACATTTGGGTGACATTATCTTCGTAAGACGTAAACAAAAAAATGGCTGGTATATGGGCATAAATTCTCGTACTAAGAAAACTGGCTTGTTTCCTGCTTCCTTTGTCGAGCGGATCTTGGTTTTCTCAACATTTGTTGGATATAGAGGTGGAGTTAATTGAGTGTTAATGCAAGAGTAGTGTTGATGATGGTATTGTAAATTTCCTTCTGCAATTTTCTCTTTAACTTTTCTTCCAATGTATCTTTGAAGATCCAACTTTTCCAAGCCATCATCCATAATTAGAGGAGCAGAAGCAGCATACTTTGCCGCTCGATCAGCCTGCTCATTTCCCAGTAAACCGATGTGACTTGGTACCCATAACATTTTAATTTTTCCGTCGGGTGTAGTAATTATATTCCTTAATTTGTTGATGGTGCTCCATCTCGAAGTCGAAGGATTCCGAACAGCTTGTAATACAGACAAACTGTCGGTAACAATAGCGGTTTTGAGTTTGTTTTTATGGGCAAGGTTGGCAGCGTGAAAGATAGCTCTGGCTTCCGTTGTGAAAGTTGAAGTACTTTCGTGAAATATGTGGTTGAGAAGAACTCGTCCTGTAGCATCTACCAAATATCGCACTAAAAACCTTTAATGTGCATACCCAGATGAGGATACAGGCAGGCAGACATGAAACAGGCAAAGAAGTTATCAATTTACTGATCAATTCAAGTTATCAATTTACTGATCAATTAAAAACAAATGTTCGTAAAGATAATTAAAAAATTTTTTTTCTTTTTTGAGATATAGAAAATGAATGAACTAAGGCAACGAAATACGTCTCGTATACATATATACTCCCAGACTGATAGCAATTTTAAATTTCAACGCAAAATAATGAGTGAACAGGAGAAATTCCATATGTGTAAAACAAGTTTTTTTGTCAACTCATACTTTGGTTTTTTTTTTTTGATTTGTTTAAGTAGGAAAAGACTGATAAACGTTTCAAGAAGGACTATGAGAACGAATGGACGACATGCAGAAGCAATTGATTTAAATTATTATAGATTTGAACTAGAACTCGTGGGCGTTTTTGCAATTTTAAATTAACAAATTGATATTGACAACCGCTTTGAACCTTTCCACGAACCCAGGCGAAGAGAGAGGAAGAGCAAAAAAAGATCAAAACAGTAGATTGAATTTTCTTACAGCTACAAATAAATTGCTTGCTTATTTCTGCGCATACACTTGGTTTATTTTGTTCAAAATGAACATAATTATATTGTGATATTCCTAATAATATTATACATCATACATGATGTAAAATTGTAGATCTAAAATTAATTTCGTTCAATTTTCATTAATTCATAAGATCTAAAATTAATTTCGTTCAATTTTCATTAATTCATAAGATTGTTAACTCAACATCCCAAAAAAAAAAAAAGAAAGGTAATGTTAAAAGTAAAACGGTATTTTCAAAGTAAACAGGTATTTTCAAATTTTAGACATTTGATGATATATATATGTTTTTGAGCATTTTTGAGATGCTATTTTTGGCGGTAGAAAATGAAGAGCCAATGTGTTTCTTCCTTCATAAATAAAATAAAAAGTTTGGTTAGGAAATTAATGACGATTGTAAAGCTTCTTTAAGGCCAAAGTTTGCAATGGTGCATTTCAACATATCAAAGAAACGTTTGAGCGGATGTTTTTTTGTTTAAAATAATTTCTGATGAATCGTTCGGCAAATGCAGCCTTAATTCAATGCTTTGATATTTCATTGGTACCGTAAGAGTTAGCAAAGCTTTGATATCTACAGAGTATAATGGATTTTGCGCACGGGCTTTGTATAAACGTTCGGTTTGATCCATATGATATTCCATGAATGTTCGATCGTGTGTTTTCTGATGATAACAGCTAGTCCATAAGTCAGTCGAACCCGAAATAAACCATGATTTTATGTCTTCGCGTTTGCTACTGTCTTTCGAAAGTGATCGGTTTTCTTCTTGCTGCGTTGAATTTTCTTTTAGTTCCAGACGATACAATTGCGAAAGTATAATTTCAACTGCTTTTATGTAACACTTAGACCAATATTTAAAAACTTGCAGATTATCGCCCAAACTCTGTGAATAGTCTTTATGCGCAATTATAGCTTTAATATCGTTGCGGCTGGGGGTGAATACAAAGCTAGCATGCTGTTGCTTCTCGTTATCAAGCTGTTGTGGTTTTTCCGATCTGCCATTCAAGTTTACGCTTGGCTCAACATGCTTTGTTTCGTTTACTTTCATTGGTAAGATTTCGAACGGATCGTGCAAATCGAAGATGTGGTTCTCATACAATTCTACCATGTTATCGTCGTTCTGACAAATACTGAAATATTAAAAACATTAGCCAGGCGGTATTCAAAATATTCTGTCTTAATCCCGTTTATAGATTTTGTCACATTCTGATTAAGACAGAATGGATCTTAAACGCAAAGACAGGTATCAATTCGAAGTCGTTCAGGATCTTTATTAAAATATTGACTCATAGTAAGCAACGAATTGTGATATTCGAAGAAGTTAATGCTATCATTGACGAAATCGTTACGGGGAATTGCGCTGCCCAAATAAGGTCACAGTACAACCGAAGATAAGTTACAACTTTTATAGAAACCAAAAAAACCTATGATTAATTCAAAGGTAGTTATGGAGGGAGGCAGGCAAGGTTTGTTTTCATTACTTTCCACATAAAAAGCATAATTTACACATTGCACGAGGTGCTCGTTGCAATTTGCTTGCAACTTCTTTATTGGCAATACAATTGCCAGATTGTTGTAATTCTCTAGAGGCTGTTGCAAATAGAATATCGCCAATATGATTAGATAATAGCTGCTCATATTACCGTATTTCACAATTTGCATATGTTTAGCCCATATTTTCAAAAATAACAGCAGGAAGTGTATACGAGCGTCAGCTTCCACTAAAGCCTGCAGAAAGCGAGTGCTGTCTACGCTACTAGGACAACTTAGGTTAATATCAACGCTGAATCCCGTGCCTTTATGTTTGCATTTGACAATAGCCACACGGGCACTACAGATTGCAAGAACATCCAAGAAATGTTTGCTCTGAATTAAAGCTCTATATACACGATTGAAGATTTTGCGATTAAGAGGATCCCACTTTTGCCCAAACATATACGCTTATTCTCTAAAGTGCCCAATTTTTATACGCTTACTCTCTAAAGAACCCAATTTTTAAACATGCGACAACTCTTAAGAAACAAATTGAGGAGTGTAAACAAATGTGGACGCTTACTCTCTAAAGAATCCAATTTTTAAACAAACACGTGTTCAATTATTGAGAAGTGTAAACAAATATATACGCTTATTCTCTAAAGTGCCCAATTTTTTGGCCCTTCCTTAACAAAAAAGGAATAATACATGAATTTGAAAACGAAAAGATTGTATGTGCACCTATATTATTATTAATAATTTCTTTTTATTAATTTTTTTCATGATCAAATTGCAAAGTAAAATTCATGTTGACATGAACATAGGAAGGGGTAAAAATAAAGGTTCGTAGCTGGCAATATGTAGAACAAGTTATTTTATGTTTAGTTTCCCACATTACTAATACGATGGGCAGTAATGTGTCATCAGACATACAGGGCACCTTCATGGATGGAAGTTTTCCAATAAGTAAGAGAGTATTGGTAGAGATAATTATTATCTTACACTTGTCTTGTTTTATGGTTCATATTTCTGGGTGATCATACAGATCTTGCCAGATTGCCCTGTATTACTGTTTCACGAATCATCTGAACATGCAGTTTCACGCATTTTCTCTATAAGACGGATTGCTTAAATTAAAAAGTCCCAAAGCAAGGCCGCATCTGCTTACCATAACGATTCCCAACGTAGTCATTCACAAGGTTCCCCGGGTCGGACATCCAGCTTAATATTACTGAAACTTTAAATTTTGCAGCCACTCCAAGCATGCTGCCAATAGGATCACAAGTGAAATGTTAGGTAACGGGGAAAGAGCCATTGAGATATCGGGCGAAATCATAACGATTGAGCCGGATATTGAGCATATTTTAGAATGTAATAAATCAGTTAGTGAAGATTTTTTTGCGTTTTCTGAAATGGAGAACGAACAGACTGAAGAACGGATGGACGTACAGACAGCCGTACAGACGGACATACAGAGGTATGAACGACTATTATCTAAAAAAAACCCCAATAGGTATAATTTAAGGAACAGAAACGACGAGGGACCAACAACATCGGCAGAAGCAGCGCGGAGGGAAAAGAAGCGACGGCTTGAACCCGCTGCACTCGAAAATGAAGGCCAGGAAGTTCAACGAGTTGATAACGTAGTGGTCATGGAGGCGCAGAGGGAGAATAGCAGAAGTATTGAATCCGCTGAAGGCCAGGATGTTAAATTCATAAAAACATCGAGGCGCTGCGAGAGATCGTGGAGAGGTTAAATCTTCACGACAAGGTTGTGCAGGACGCGTACACAAACGAAAAAACAACATATTTTCGGACCGAGGTTATACTTTACGGCTGCGTCTACGAAGACACAAAAGAAGTTAGAAAAACGGAAGGATAGCGATAGGAGTACCAACGGAAGCGAGTTGACAGTACCATTTATACGATACAACATCTGTTCGATTACAGACATCTGCTGTATGGATTTCACGATAGGATGAGAAACAGCAATCAGTATGACCTGACCTCCGTCACCAAGGCACATGCAGGAAAAACTGGCACCTCAAGTTACTTAAAGAGGAGAGGTGCATGCTTAATAAATACATTTGATGGATCGCTCAAAGAATTTATACAGTTATCAACTCCCCCAACAGTGACGAATTTGGACGTCGCTGTGAAGCGCAGAATTTTTCGTGAAAGAAAAGAAATAAGAACAAACGAAGCCATCGCTGCTCTGACTGAATTGTGCACAGTCATGCACAGTGGCAAGATAAGCAGCGCCGAATAGGAAGAACAGAAAGCGGTGCTAGCGGAAGCGGAAACGTATTTAAAAGATAACTTCCAGACGGCCGAGGTGACTGACCCCACCTTGGACACCATCGACAACTTCATGGAGGTAATGGATGGCCTGCTGGAGGCTTACCCTGGCATAACTATCCACGCCTACAGCCAAGACCTCTTGGAGAGATTTTTTTGCAAGA